GGGGGGGGGGGGAGACTGCTCGATGATCAGTCGAGGGGAGCTATTCGCAAAATAAGGTGATTTTAACACTTGACTTTTGGGGGTTTGACTGGGGAAGGCGCGAGTAATTTTTATGGGGTGTGGGCTGTCTCTTATACACATCTAGATGTGTATAAGAGACAGGACTTGGGTTGTTTGTCATCACTTCAAGATGTCTACCGATTCGTGGAAGGAAAAGGCCTTACAACTTTGCCCTTGTTTTACATTATCATTTGTATACCGATTCCTAATGATCTTAAGTAAATTTTCCCTAATACCAATTCACTCTACTAACCCATCTCGCCAAACAGTGTCAAAGCTAGAAAGGTTTTCTTTAGATGGTCGTGTGATAAAGATATCTTTTTAAGCGTGAAAGATCTTCGCCACTCTCGAACGTCCGGGCGCCAAGCCAACGCCACGCAATCAATACAATGCCTAGATCGCTTATTAGGCGGATAGCCTAGGTCAGCCTAGTCAGCTAAACATTCAATTCATTCCAAAACAATTATCGAGAATAACGTACCTCTTGTTCGCTTTTTGCTTTTCTTCTGAAAGAGGCAATAAAGTTATCAACCTCTGTTTTGGACCGTGACATATTTTATTGTAAAAAAATATATATCAAGTATCATCACTGATCAGTTTCGAAACAAAGTTCATCTCATTCTCACTGTCTGTATTGACGGACCCAGCACATGTGGGTATTTCCCACTAATGTTTTTTTACATATAATATTTCAACAATAAAAGAGGCCATGTTCTGGTTTACAGACACCCGCTAGACCTAGAGTGTTACCAGTGGCGTTTCTAGANNNNGAAGGGGGGGGGGGGGGAGGGGAAGAGGGCTCGATGATCAGTCGAGGGGAGCTATTCGCAAAATAAGGTGATTTTAACACTTGACTTTTGGGGGTTTGACTGGGGAAGGCGCGAGTAATTTTTATGGGGTGTGGGCCCACCCCCACCACCCTGCAGACACGCCACTGAGTGTTACTGTCTCAATTCTCAAGTAAATTACCAAAGCACTTTAGAGTTTGTTACGATTAAATAGTCATAGGGAGCGCGGGGCACATTGATGTCCGATGGGAAAATCCCCATCTAGGTTGCCAGCCTTTGGTTGCCAGGTTCAGTTGTACCAGAGGAGGTTTTCTTGACACTGTTAAATTATTAATACCTTGATCTTGATTGTACAGTATAATTGAGAAATCCTACTGGATGTCACTCACTCGGTGGTGAGGTGGCGAGCACTGTTCCCATGCTCATACGTAGTATACAGGGGAGAATCTGGGCTCAAACTTACGGGGAGGGGGAAAAGATTATGAAGGCCCAACTTCCCATGGTCAACTCACTAAAGCAAGGAAGCAGGTCTGTTTTGGGGTGGGGGAAGAGGACATTTAGTGACTACCCATCCACCTCAACCATGGTTGGGGCTGAGGTGCGAAAATTCGAGGAAATAGTACCCTCTAGACCCCCGCTTCCCAAACTTTTTTCTCTGGGACTCAATTGCATGATTTCCCAGACAAGTCACCATAATAATAATTAAATGTCTTAGTAAATTGCACATGACCTTATCACAAAAAATGTAATGCTTTTAAAATTTGACATTAGTATACAGCGCTTATTGTTTACTAATGATCTCCCTTTTGAGAGAAACCAGTGGCGTATACAGGATTTGGTAATAAGGGGGACCCCCAACTGAGAGTTTTCACAAATAGATGGTACCATCCACCTCTAGCCCCACCATGGTTGGGGCTGAGGTAAGAAATTTTATGATTATGGCAAACATAGATGGCTGGAAATGGCACTCTCAGATTGAATTTGATTACAATTTTCCCTTTTTCTCCATTTTTTTTAATTGGAGGGTGGGGGAGCAGTGAACCCTCCACTGGAAAATTAGACAACCTTTAATATTTGAAATGAAAATATAATCAACTTTCCTGGACAAATTATTTTCAACCATTGAATTTAAATTTAATGAATTTTATACCTAAATTTTAACCCTGTGTTTACCAGTTGCTTATCAAGAATTTAGGGAATGGTGGGGGAGGCGCTAATGGAATGAGAGTCCACAACACGTCAGCACCTCCATGGTTGGCGGTGACGTTAGAATATTTTCAGTATTTTGTACCAGGATGCCCGAATATGGAACTTAAATTACCTTTTAATTCTTTTTATTTTTGACAAAATGAGTAAAAATAAATCCATAAAATTAATAAAATTAAATAAATTATAGGTGCACGAAAATGGCACTTAAAATTCTAAAAACTACGATATCACCTGAGCCCCACCATAGTTGGAAAATTTAAAGAATTTGAGACTTATAGATACCACAAAATAACACTTGAATTTCAAAAATCTGTGACTTATATCTACCTGAGCCCCACTATGGTTTTGGGGCGCATATGATTTTAAGAATTTGAGACTTTACGGATGCCTGAAAATGGCACTTGGATACCTAAAGTTTATGGAAACTACCATCCACCTCAGCCAACCATAGTTGTGGCTGGGGTTAGACAATTGTAAGAATTTGGGACTTCAAGATGGCGGAAAATGGCATAACATTAATTAAGAAGGGGCACTTTCAACTTCTGAACGGGGGTGTTCAAGCACCAACAGTATGCACCACTGCACTGGTTATACTGCCTTATCAACAAAACTGTATGGCAAGTGCTTTTTGGTATATTTTTGCATTTGCAATAGTTACACACTTAAAATTCATTTGGATAATGTAATTTTTAGGTCACCTTACAGTAATTTTCTATTTTCAGTTGATTTCTATAAATTGTTTTTTGAACAGTTGAAAGCAGATTTACACAATTATGTTGTGGTAAACAGCAACAGAAAAATAATACTAGTCATATGAATTTCAGAATATTCATTGTGGGCATATAATAAAACATTGTTCTAATGAGGATTCACCTAAACATGCTGTTTTTTAGTCATCAGACCTGATTAACTCTCTGAAAATGAGCACATAAATTGATTCTATTTTTGCAAACCGGCCCGCGACCCAATGCAAAAGTCTGGCGACCCATTTTTGGGTCGCAACCCTTAGTTTGGGAAGCATGGCTCTAGATGGCCAGAAATGAAAGGCCTACTCTTATAATCTAAATAGTAAAATTCACCGAATTACCATTATAGTCAAATAAAGTGCCAACAATTTTCTCATGATCTTTCATTAGCGATTCCCACGGCACCCATAGAAATTAATGAGTGATGTGCCATAGAAAATAAATCTATTGTAACAATTGTGTTTGATGTATTGACTTAAATTCAGCTACTCCAAAGACGCGAGTCCACACCTCAGCCCCACCATGGTCAGGGCTGAGTGAGGAAAATTTGAGGAAATAGTACCCTCTAGATGGCCACAAATGACACTCTTATATAGTAAAAGTCATCACATCACCATTAAAGTCAAAATGGAGCACAAGTTTCTCATGATCTTTTATTAGCAATTGGAATTTAATGGGGCGTTTATTTGGGGAAAAAACGAAAGCATTGGGCACTTTGAGGGAAGCATGTATTCTGAATGGGATTCTTTAAGGGACATGTATTCAAATGAGGCGTATATTCAACGCGGGACATTTATTCGAATAAATACGCTACCACATATATACAGTAGATAAACAAAAAAAAAATACAATTTTTTATTCAGTTCAGTACATTTATTAGATGAAAATAGCAGCCAAAAAATACATTTATATTCCACTGAAGCATTTAATATAAACATTCATGAAAATGAAATACAAAAAATATGAAAACATGAGTTTTTAGTCGACTAAATACTTAATCACAAACCTTGTGAGCTACCATTATATCATGCTAATTAACAAACAGGCTAACGAGTTTGAGTTAACCACAATATTATTAGGGTACATGCAAGTTAAAAACACATACAAAAAATTATTTATTACTTGGAATATTGTATGGCGATACAGAGAATTCCATAGGTACTGATTTATATTTCTTTTTAAACTTATACAAACATCCTAAATTTCATATAATTATAAACATACTTTTGTACAACTGGGAACATATGAAATGGAGATGAGTGAAACAGTAATACCGACCAATCATATCAAATGATGCCATAGCAACACCAATCATATCAAATGATGCCAGAGCAACACTGATCATATCAAAACCATATCGAATGGTGCCACAGCAACACTATTACATCACATGATGTCATTACAACATCAATTAGGATCAAATGATGCCATAACAACAGCCACATCAAATGATGCTATAACAACAATATTCATATTAAATGATGTTTATAGCAACACAAATCATATAAAATGATGATATAGAAGCAAAACTATTTTAATTATGTTCTTTTAATTTCTAAAATCATTTCAAACATGATATACAGCAATTTTGTATCCTATAGTATCAGAGATCAAATCAATGAGTTGCCAAAAAACAATATGACTGATAACCATAGACACTGTTGCTAAGTGCCAAATAACACAAATTTTGATAAGATGGTTATTATCAGTTTATGGTATTGTTTTTATTGTCATGATCACCATCAATTACTAATTATTATTTCATCAATTTGTAATTGAAATGACACATTAATTAGTATTGCAAATACAGTAATGTTAACCTTCTCATGCTGTCCAACACAAATCCAAATCATTGAAAATGACATTAGAATGATTACCAAATCTATATGAAAAATACAGAAATGGGACTACTTATGTCTCTGCAAATTGGTGAAGAAAATACAGTATTGTAATATTCTAATTTTCAAAATTTAAACATTTTTGGAAAAGATTATTAACTTACTAAAAAAGTAATCAAATATTTGAATTTTTAAATAAGTAATCAAATATATGAATTTTCAAGTTTTACAAGCTTAGCAAAAATGAAACAGAAAAGGTTGTGTTTAGATAATTCCATGAAATACATGCCGACTGGTAAAATTCCTGTGATGACATACAACAGTCTATATTGTGATTTATCAACCAGATAACACTCTGTAGAATCTGAAAGAGAAAAAATGAACAGATTAAAATGTATAATGGACAATTGTTGTGATTGGCTTTACTTTTATCATTCAATAAAATGCAGTCTACAGTCCACAAATTTAAAGCTACTTATTATGCTCCATCCACACTATCAACTTTTCTTTGGCAAAAAAATGTATGCCCATATATAGTAATGATGTGCCTATATATGGTCATGATGTGATGTCATCATGACCATATTTGGGCATGTCACATGCTTTTGTCGAATAATATTTGATAGTCCACACTGTCAAATTGAATGTGAAAAATGTGTATGATGTGCCCATATATGGGCATGATGTCATATTACACCCAGAATGTTGGAATATCACATTTATTTGAGACATAAAATATGATAGTGTGAATAGAACTTTAGCCTGCAAAGCACAAAAATTTATTTTCAGTAATAAACAACAAAACAAATAAATTAGATAACAAACAATAACCTAGTTGGCATGTATGAAAACATCCCTTATACAAAAAATTGCAGTTAGTTAAATCAGGGTGGGCATGAAATTGGGTCAGAGTGCCAAAGTGAATTTTTGGATTTTACACTGAGGGCTGCACCCAAACGTTGATGTTTACAATGTGCTTCAACCTGTATGCACTATTTTTATCCTGTTTTTATCTCCCTTTTTATTACCGTAAAACCATGAATTGAAGCCCTGTGCTTTTTTTCGCAAACTTTGAATGGGCTTCTTTTCAAGATGGGCTTCATTTCGAGGTGACTTTGCAAAGTAAAGAGGAGGGGGGGGGACTTCTTTTCAAAATGAATGCTGTAAATTTTGTGAATTTGTACTATAAAAAAATAAATAAGGCCATTGTAACATCAATCTGGATCATGAAGTGTATTTAAATGGCATTAAATCAACTAAACTAATGTATAAACCAAGCTTGTTATTAAATTATTTTGTTTTCTGAAATTCATGCAGAGTGTTTGTGCCGTACTATCTCGAAAAGAAGCCTATGCTATCTTGAAAAGAAACCCATGGGCTTCCGAGGCTAATTTTGCAAACTAAAGATGGGGCTTAAATTCGAGATTGGCTTGATCTCAAGATTAAGCCCACTAGGCTTTAATTCAAGGTTTTACGGTATTACTTTTAGAAATGATCGGTGTCGGGTGTACATAACGAAGATGGTTAGCAGGCCACACACACAGGAATTCTAATATATTTTCACAGGCCACAAATTAATCACCATAGAACAAACTTTTATTTTCCAGACCATTTCAGTTTTCTTTGTGTACCTGAAAATTAGTTTCACAGTGTGTCACTTACAGACCATTAAGTCCTTTGCAAGATGTAGCTACGCAAAACGTAGAACTTCTATTCCAGACCTCTTTGAATTAGGGGATGGTAAAACATGGGATTAAGCTTATACAGACAATTATTGTTATAACAAAGCAATATGATTAAATTCAGAAATATGATATAAAATGCAAAAAAAAAAATGTAAAAACTACTTCTCTTACTTTAACTGCCTTGACATTTTTCTTTCCACTGTGCCGTCTCACGATTCCAGTGGTACAGTTTCGCACGCTGGCAGAATAACTGTTCTTCTTCCTCCTCACCAGTTTTAACTTCAATTTCTTTTAGTGTGACAACTGGCTTAAACTGCAGTTCTTCCTCTGGGTAATAACCTTCACTCATTGTTTTTCTCACTGCTGCAGCAAAACTTTGTCCAAAGCTGAATGTTGGTGCAGAAGTAACTGAAAATATAGAAATTACATAATATAAAACTTGCTAACACTGAGGTACAGGCCCGTAACCGGGGAGGAGAGGGCAAACCTTGTCTCTAGGCCTGCTTATTCTTCTTATGTCCCTAGTTAAGCATGCGTTCATATTACCAGTAGGCAACGGAAATCAAAATAATGACATGCGGTAAGAGTACTCTTAGGCCTACTGCTATTCTCCCAAGATTTTGCATGGTTTGGAATACTGTGCGAGTGAAATAAAAAAAATATCTTAGTTCAAAGTGGTTCATAATTGTTAAAAGATTTTAGGTTAGTGGGTAGTATGTAGTTTATCCTTCAGTTTCAAAGCTTTTTAATGCACAGTTTTCCAGTGAGTATGATTAATATTATGAAATAATTTTCTGTTTCATGGGTTTGAGAGCCACAATTGTTAGCTGTGGTCATTTCTTGCCATCATTCATTGGAATGAGATATTGAAATTGGCATAATTAATAAACTTTTTCCTGATCATTAAATTAAAGTTTGAAGTTTAAAACTGTAATGGCTTGTACATACCTGCACTGTCAGTTTGTGTCTTGTCCTTGTCTTCATCCTCCGCTTTTTTGTCTTCATCCTCCGCTTTTTTGTCTTCCGCCTCCTCCACTTTATTGTCTTCTGCCTCCTCCACTTTATTGTCTTCTGCCTCCTCCACTTTATCATCTTCCTCTTCATCATCTTCCTCTTCCACTTCATCATCTTCCTCTTCCACTTTATCATCTTCCTCTTCCAATTTATCATCTTCCTCTTCCACTTTATCATCTTCCTTCTCCTCCACTTCATTGCCTTCTTCCTCCACCACTTTATCGTCTTCGTCCTCCTCCACTTTATTTTCTTCTTCCTCCTCCACTTTATCGCCTTCTTCCTCCACCACTTTATCGTCTTCTTCCTCCTCCACTTTATTTTCTTCTTCCTCCTCCACTTTATCGCCTTCTTCCTCCACCACTTTATCACCTTCTTCCTCCTCCACTTTATCGTCTTCTTCATCCTCCACTTTATTTTCTTCATCCTCTTTATATTCCTCTTTAACTTCAGCTTCTTTCTCTTCTTTATCTTCCTCTTCATTTTGTTCCTCTTCCTCCTCTTCATCATTCTCCTCATTATCGTCGTCATCATCGTCATCTTCCTCCTCATTATCTTTCTCCTCTACTTGAGTATCTCCCTTCTCTTCTGTACTTTTCTTTTCAACTTGATCAGTTTTGATTTCTTCTGTGTCTTCGTTCTTCACTTCTTTTGATTTATCCTCTATTTTTTTCTCTGTTGGCTTAGCTTGATTGCTACCTTTAATCTTTATGACAGCTTCCTTAGCATTCTCAAAAGCTTCTTTAAATGCAGCAGCAACATCTGAAGTCTTAAAGCGAACTGCCAGTAATTCTGGTTTGACGTTTCCATCATCAGAAGCATCCATTGCTGTCCACACCCAAGAACGATCAGAACCTGAATTAGGACGCAGATCCATCTCTGGTTGAATGAAGTGGTTTGCACATAACTTAAGAACCTGTTCTCGTCTCATTAATATACGGTAGAGTCCGGTTTCTTTGTGCTTCATTATTTTGATATCACCCATGCCACGCTCCTTCCACTCATTGGATTCCTTGTTAAACCGGTACAACTTGGCTCGATGGCAGAACATCACATCCTCATTCTCCTCTCCAGTTGTCAGCTCAACCGGATCAAGGTGAACAACTGGCTCAAAATGCAAGCCATCATAATCATCATCTTTGTAATAAGAATCATCTCCTGATTTATCCAGACTTGGTGATTTCATGAGACCGGGCGATCGTTGAATGCCTGGTGATTTCTGTCTCTTATACACATCTAGATGTGTATAAGAGACAGGTGCTTGGCTCACTCTTCTCATCTTCACTCATTGTTTTTCTCACTGCTGCAGCAAAACTTTGTCCAAAGCTGAATGTTGGTGCAGAAGTAACTGAAAATATAGAAATTACATAATATAAACTTGCTAACACTGAGGTACAGGCCCGTAACCGGGGAGGGGAGGGCAAACCTTGCCTCTAGGCCTGCTTATTCTTCTTATGTCCCTAGGTAAGCATGCGTTCATATTACCAGTAGGCAACGCAAATCAAAATAATGACATGCGCCTAGAGTACTCTTAGGCCTACTGCTATTCTGCCAAGATTTTGCATGGTTTGGATTACTGTGCGAGTGAAATAAAAAAAATATCTTAGTTCAAAGTGGTTCATAATTGTTAAAAGATTTTAGGTTAGTGGGTAGTATGTAGTCTATCCTTCAGTTTCAAAGCTTTTTAATGCACAGTTTTTCAGTGAGTATGATTAATATTATGAAATAATTTTCTGTTTCATGGGTTTGGAGCCACAATTATTAGCTGTGGTCATTTCTTGCCATCATTCATTTGAATTAGATATTGAAATTGGCATAATTAATAAACTTTTTCCTGATCATTAAATTAAAGTTTGAAGTTTAAAACTGTAATGGCTTGTACATACCTGCACTGTCAACTTGTGTCTTGTCCTTGTCTTCATCCTCCGCTTTATT